GAAGAAAACAACAGGATAATTTAAGGCTTTTACTTTTTAAAATATATTTATTTCAAAGACACATACACACACAGACATTTCTAAGAATATAAACTTTAGGGAACCAGCAGTTAGCGTAATGGCTATGTCGCTGGACTCCCCCGTAGTCGACCGCGGTTCGTGTCCCGGACCCGGTGGCTTAAAACTCATACCGGGCGCGTGTGCGTGCGTGCCCAAGATCCCGAGAGGAGAATGGAGGAGAAGGGATTGCGGCGTGACCATCCCCCCTGGGGGGTGATTTCTCACTTTCTGTCTCTATGTCTCTGTCTGTCTGGCGAGCACACGCGCCCTACAGTGAAAATCTCTCCAAAAAAAGAAAAAAAAAGAATATAAACTTTAGGTGCTTACTATACAATGATAAAAAGAAGGCTCAATTGTTCTTTTTTTTTTTTTTAAGAATTACTTAACTTTATTGGACCAGCAGTTAGCATAAGGGCTATGTCGCTGGAATCGCACGTAGTCAACCACGGTTCACATCCCGCACCCAGTGGCTTAAACTCACGCCGGGCGCGTGAGCGTGCGTGCCCAAGATCCCGAGAGGAGAAGGGCGAAGGGATTGCGGCGTGACCATCCCCCCTGGGGGGTGCTTTCTCGCTTTCTCTCTGTCTCTCTGTCTCTCTGGCGAGCACACATGCCCTATAGCATAAAACCTCTCCAAAAAAAAAAGAATTACTTAACTTTATGTATTCATCCATTCATTTTTAATTTAATCAGAGACAGGCACAGAGAGAGAGAGAGAGAAAGTGAGAAAGCAAGCCACCCTAACCCTGACCCTGACCCTAGCAGGCAGAATGCAATGGGCTAACTCAAAGTGCTAAAAGAAAGAAGTCGACTAAATACCCAGCATCTGCAAACTTGCCATTCAAAAGTGAGAGGGAAACCGTGGCATTCCCAGATAAAAAAAGCTGAGGGTTGGCATGGAGGTTAAGGTAGCTGGATCCCCCATGGCTGACAACACAGTTTGAGTCCCAAGCCCTGCAGCTAGAAAATCATGCTTATTGTGTATGGACATGTGCCCAAACTTCCAAGAAGAGAATAGGGAAGACACTGGGGCATGACTATCCCCTGGGGGATGATTTCTCACTCTTACCTTCTCTTTCTCTCCCTCTCTCTGATTAGATTTCAATAAAAGTAAATATTTGATTAATTACAAAAGCTAGCCTAGTATTACTGTAACTATTTTGTAACTCTTATTTTCTACAATTTAAAAGACTGATCTCTAAATGTTCATCATGGATGAATGGATAAGTAAACTGTGGTATACACATACAATAATATACTATTCTCCCTTAAAAAAAGAAAAATTATAGGGCTGGCAGGTGGCATCGTGGTTAAGGGCTCCAGACTCCCACATGGCTGACCACAGTTTGAGTCCTAGACCTGGCAGGTTGTTTTCTCGCTTTCCCTTTTTCTCTCTCTGTGTCTCACTCTGGTCAAATTAAAAATAATAATAATAATAACAATAATAACAATAATGATAAAGAAAATAATTTTTTTAAAAAAGAAAAAATTATAATACATGCTACAACATGGATGAACCTTGAGGACATGCTAAATGAAATAAGCCAGGAATTATAAAATGCTACGTAATTCCATCTATTCAAGGTACTATAACAGTAAAATTCACTGAAGTTGAATGGTGGTTGCCAGGGGCAGGAGGGAGGGGAGAACATAAAGTTGTTAACATTCACAGTGTTTAGTCTTTCCAAGATGAAACAGCTTTGGAGCTGGATGGTAATGATGGCTAAACACAGGGAATGTACTTAACACCACTGAACTGTGCATGTAAAAATAGCTAAGAAGGTAGATATTATGTGTATTACCCTAATTTGAAAGAAATGTTGTTAAAGATCAATAAACTATCAATCTAGGAAATGAGACTAGATTCTGTCATAACTGATTATTAAGGAAGTTTTCTCTGAAGAAGTGATATTTGAGAAGGGCACTAAAGAGTAAGTTCTTAGACCACTCAGTATAGTGGTTAAGAAAGCTGGATTCCACCAATCACAGTTCAAATTTTGGTCTGGTGGCTTGAAAAACACAGTGGGTACATGTATGTGTGTCCCAAATCTTGACAAGATGGAGAAACGAAGAAGGGATTGTGCCATGATCACGCCCCATTGAGGGTGCTTTCTCTCTTTCTCTGACAAGCACATGCACCCTCTGGTAATTTAAAAAAAAAAAAAAAAAAAGATGAGATGGGGACAGCAGATGGTGTAGTTGTTGGGACCAGCAGTTAGCGTAATGGCTATGTCGCTGGACTCCCATGTAGTCAACCATGGTCCGCATCCCAGATCTGATGGCTTAAAACTCACTCCGGGCGCATGTGCATGCGTGCCCAAGATCCCGGGAGGAGAATGGAGGTGAAGGGATTGCGGCGTGGTCATCCCCCCTGAGGGGTAATTTCTCACTTTCAGTCTCTCTGTCTCTCTCTGTTTGTCTGGTGAGCGCACACGCCCTATAGCAAAAACTTCTCCAAAAAAAAAAAAAAGCAGATGGTGTAGTTGTTAAGGTGCTAAACTCTACATGGTAAACTGCAGTTCAAGTTCAGAGCCCAGGGGTTTGAAAATCACACAGTGTGTGTGTGTGTGTGTGTGTGTGTGTGTGTGACCAAAATCCTAGGAAGGGCATGAAGAAGAGAGGATTGTGGTGTGGCCATACTCCCACTGGAGGGTGGTATCTCACTTTCCCTCTCACTGTTTCTATCTGGTGAGTACATGCACCCTATAGCAAAAACCTTAAAAAAAAAATCAGAAAAGATTAAGTTCTCACATAGGCTAAAATGGGGGGGGGAGAAAGGACATTAAAGGAAGAGAAAGCAGCATTTGCAGCAAACGTAAAAAGAACAAATTCATTTCATACTTGAAAGTAGAATGGGAACATTAATCTCAAAAGAATTCCTAACTCTGTAACAAAGCAATCTTCACAATAAATTGTTAACTTAAATTTTACTGATAGTTTTGTTTGCAGTTAGAGTGTATTTAGTACTACTGTTGTATAAGAATTAAAAAGTGGGGACCGGTAGGTGGCACAGTGGTTAAAGGCGCTGGATTCCACATGGCTGACCATGGTTCAAGTCCTAGACCTGGCGGCTTGCTTTCTTGCTTCCCCTTCTTCTCTCTCTGGTCAAATAATAATAACAACAAATGGAATTAAATATATATATATATATAAGTGGTGAAGATGTTAGACATCCACATGGCCAATCACAGTTGGAGTTCTGGACCTAGCAGCTTGAAATTCACACCAGGCACATGTGCATGCATGCCCAAAATCCACAGATGAGAATGGAGAAGGGATTGTGGTGTGGCCATCCCCTCTAGGAGGTGATTTCTCATTTTCTCTCTTTCTCTGTCTCTCCCACAAGCATATGTGCCCTACAGCAAAAATCTCTCCCTAAAAAAGGTGCATCGCTTGTTCAATGGGTAAAAATGAAACCTGCTCACAAAATAAACATTACCAAAGATTATATTAACATGATTGTAATATACTTTCATGTTCTTTTTTTTTTTTTAAATCCCAGAGGGAACTTGCACTTGCCACAGAGAAAAAGAGTAAAAGGAAAAAAGCACCCTCCAATGGGATGTGGTCATGCCACAAACCCTTCTCCTCCATTTTTCCATCCTGTTGGAATTTGGGGCACTCGTGAACATGCACAGGTTTCATAGTCAGCCATGTGGGATGTGACTCCCTTAACTACCAGGCTGCAAGTCAATTCCTTTTTTTTCCTATCCTTTTTACTTAAGTTACCACTTTATCATATCTTTAGTATTATTTTTGTAATTTCTTTTAAAAATTTATGTTGGCAGAGATAGAGAGACAGCAAATGAGGAAGGATAAAGCATTCCCCAAAGGGACAGAGTCACATTACAATCACTTCTCCATATCACCATCATGCTGGGATCTGGATATGCACACAATTCTACCCAGCATGTTTTTGAAGTCACTGGGGCTGAGACTCAAACTGCTCAGTCAGCCATGTGAGAGAATGATAATCACTTAGTTATCATGCCACAGGGCTGGTCCTATTTTTATAAATCTAAGTGGGTTTATAAAATTGCTGTGAAAGATTTTTAAGTCCAAAAGAGTTGGAAAGTGCCATATTATACTAATAAATACTATATTATGCTATAAACAGACACTGAGCCCTCTCGTTGCTGATATGCTATTTCGTGGTTCTCACAAAACTAGGAGCCATTTTACCACTGAGTGAGTGTGTGTGTTTGTGTGTGTGTGTGTGTGTGTGTATTTTTGGTTGCCATAACTGGAGAGGGAGGATGCTAGTGGCATCTACTGGGTAGAGGCAAGGGACACTGCCGAACTTCCTACAAACTTAGGGGGGCCTCCCCAACAAGAACTACCCAGGCCAGAATGTCAATTGCTAAGATTAAGAAACCCAGTTTCAGACAGATACAGCAAAATAATAATAATGTGGTAAGCCTTCTATTAGAGGAGTACCATTTGGGTGGCATTTAACACAGCACCGAGGGAAAGGAATGCAGAATGAGGATTACAGAAAGAAGGAATAGTGAAAGAAGGAACAGCAGAGCAAAGGGAGCAGACACATTAATGAGCAGCATTAGAATGGATTAACAGGTTCCTAATGGGCTGTGGTTAGCCTCTATTTATATAAAATTCTTCAATTTCCATGTATCAAATTTAGGCAAAACACCCTACTGTAAAATTTCACACAGTATCATATTCCTTCTGTGAGAAATTTAGGTCAAGACAGTGTGAACTAATGAGCAAAGCTTTAACCCAGGATTCATCCCAGACCCTTTTTAGCAAACTGGAGGGCAAGCAAGGAGGGTACCTGGGCTACTCTGTGAGGATCCTTCTGTTAAATGGAGAATGCCTACTTCTCTAAATACTTTTTGCACAGGTTGAACATGCCCAATACAAAATACAAAATCTGAAAATTTCGATTGCTGACATGATGGCACAGGGGGCAAATTCCATACCTGATCTCATGTGATGGGCCCCAATGAAAACACTGCAATACAAAAATATTACAGAAAATTACCTTCAGGTTATGTGTATAACGTGTGTGTTTACACTTAAGTCCTACCCCCAAGATATTCCATTATGTGTATGCAAATATTCCAAAATCCCCAAATCTCTCCTGGTCCCATGGATTTCAGAAAAAGAACATTCAACCTGTATTATCTTACTCTTAATCTGACTGACTTCCAGAAAAGGGCCAAAACCGTTTTTTTCTATCTTTGCAGTTTGAGTCTCAGACCTGGTGGCTTGTTTTCTCACTTTATCTGTCTCTCTCTGGTCAAATTAAAATAAATAAAATTAAATAGATTATTCTTTTAAAAATGTATCAGACAGAAAGACATTTAAAAAAAAACTGAGGGGTCCGGCAGGTGGCATGGTGGATAAAGGTGCTGGACTCCCAACATGGTGTAACGCATTCATTCAAATTTTTTCAAGCCTTCTGAGTTTTAAAAATGTGTTTCATTCAATATGGCTAAAGCAGAACTCTGTTTTTCCTTCTTTCCTATCTGCAGTTGTCAGAGAACAGCAACATTACTGGCTCAGTTCTCTTTGCCACCTCCTGGGCCAACCACGGTGCAAGTCCCAGACCTGGTGGCTTGCTTTCTCGCTTCCCCTCTCTTTATCACTTTCTCTACTCTGGTCAAATTAAAATAATAAAAATAAATTATGTTAAATAATTCTTTATAAAAAACTGAGGTAGGGAACCAGCAGTTGGCGTAATGGCTATGTCGCTGGACACCCACGTAGTCTACCGCGGTCGCGCCCCGGACCCAGTGGCTTAAAACTCACGCCGGGCACATGTGTGTGCGTGCCCAAGATCCCGAGAGGAGAATGGAGCAGAAGGGATTGCGGCGTGACCATCCCCCCTGGGGGTGATTTCTCGCTTTCTGTCTGTCTCTTTCTGTCTGTCTCTCTCTGTCGGGCGAGCGCACGTCCCCTATAGCGAAAACCTCCCCCCCCCAAAAAAAAAAAAAAACTGAGGTAAAATTTATATACAGTGAAGTGAAAAATGATAAATGTTTAATATTAAAAAGTTTTATGTAACCACACCCCCTACCAAAATAACCTAGCCTTTAGATGACTCCCTCCAGGCCGTCTTCCTTCACGTGTCCCTCTCTTTACCAGGGCCCTACGAGATCCCCTGGACTCTAGTTCCAGTCCCAGCACAGCCCTGCGCCACCAGGGCCGCTCCGACACCCGCGCGGCCCCTGCCTCGGCAGTGCTCAACCAAGGGCTCAGGCTGCCCACCCTCGAACAGCTGAAGATAAACCCAGTCGTTTTTGCTCAAGAGGAACGGAGGCCTCCAAGCGCAGCCCTAACCCGAGGATTTAATTTCCCCTCCGGAACCCGAAGACCTAAGCCGGGGACAAGCGCGGCCCAGGCCACTCCTAGCTGCAGAGCCCACGAGGACCCGCCGGGCCCATCGAGCAACCAGGCTTCCGCCCTCGGCTCGGGGGCAGGTCGTCCGCCACCCCACCAGCCACCGCTAACCAAACTCCTCCGCACTGGAGAAAGGCTGCCAAGCAAACAAAACAGAAGCAAACAAAGAGAACCCACAAGCGACTCCGAAGCCCCTCAACAGCTCCGAGCCAGGACCACGTCAAGGAGGGAGCCGGCCACTCAGCAGCCGCGCGAGCGCAGTCGCCCCGGCGGGCCGCAGTGGGAGGAGCTGACCGGGCCGCGCTCACGCAGGCGCAGACCCTCCGCCCAGGGCGTCCCGCAAGGCGGGCGGTTTTCCTGAAGCGTCAACCCAGCGCAGAGTCCAAGAGGGCGGACTAGTGCTGGAAATTGTTCCCTCACGTTTCTCCATCTCAGAGATTATCACCAAGAATAGTGGCAAAATAATTTCAAGTATTTTTTACTTATTTATTTTATTTTTATTTTTAAAAGAATTATTTAACTTTATTATTATCATTTTTAATTTCTTTTTTTGTATATACATTCAATCGCATTGTTTAGCTTACAATGTGAGCATTTCAGTATGTGAACATTTCTTCCCAGTCCTGTTGATCGAAATATCTTCAACCGATAACACCACACTTCCCCATCCCGTCAATGTTCTACCTCCGTTGTTATTTTCCAGTTTGATCAGAGAGGGAGAGAGGAAATGAGAAAGCAAGCCACCAGGTCCTAGACTTGAATCATAGTCGGCCATATGGGAGTCCAGCGCCCTTAACCACCATGCCACTTGCCAGCTCCAAGAATTTCAGGTATTTTAATTAGATTTAAGTTAAACCCATCAGTTTAAGGTTACTCAGTCTTAAAATAGAAGACGACGCTTTATGATAGATAGGATTATGAAAAACACCTTTGAAACTCGGTAGTCTTCAGTGCTAAGTGCATTGATCAGTATATTGATAGAGTAAAACATCTAGGACCATAAATATATTTTTTGTCAGCTGTACCTTATAATAAAAGAAGCCAAGCATCTAGGTTCCCTTCTTCCTTGGCAGTTATCAAGTCATAGGTTTTTTCCATTCCAAGGCAATCAATTTATATTATTTCTCCGTTTTTCTTCTAAAAGCTCCATGATCTTGCTAAGTTTTATATATTCTGCTGAGTAGCTTTAAATCTTATCTGGTATGAGGACATAAGATCAGTATTCAACAAGTAGTACATGAAACAGGTTTTATAACTTGGGGTGTACCCTAACTTGTTTTAGGTACCCTTTCCTGTATAGTATAGAAACTCATGTTTCACTTTGACTTTGCTTTGAACTGATGACAAGTCTCTTAAAAAATATTTCAAAAGCAGGTGTAACGTGGCAAAGGGAAAGGAATGAAAATATAGACACAGAAAGAAATCAATTAACAAGAACCAATAAATCACTAACATTTACAGCAGTTTACTTTTTACAGACGTAGTCCACACATAGGGGACTGCCACAACCTGTAAGTTAACAAAAATGTTAATGTTAAACCAATTTCTTTTTGGCCTGAAATGACAGACCATTTTAAGCTTTCAGAGTTTTCATTGCTTTTAACAGATGTAAGACACAACAGTTACCTTCATGTAATGTATTTTACTATATGCTATTTTTACAGTTTAAGTTACCAGAATTCACAGTTCAAATCTTTTTTTTTTTCTTTCTTTATTTATTTTAATTTGACTAGAGGTACAGAGTGAGAAAGAGGGAAAGTGAGAAAACAAGCTGCCAGGTCCAGGACTTGAACCGTGGTTGACCATGTGGGAGTCCAGTGCCCTTAACCACCACACCACCTGTCGGGCCCCAGAGTATATCTTTATTCTTCCACCAGTAAAGCTGACTGCTCAGACATCAGGTCCAGTAACATATAATAATTAGTATTTTCCTGGTAAAATTTATGCACTATAATTGTTTTCAGAAAGCACAGAAATGTAAAATATCAAAAGGCAAAGTGATTCTTATTGAGATAAAGGGAAAATTACTTATTCAGTTAAATTAGAAAATAGATTTCAATTCAGGAATTACTCCTTTTGTGACTTGGGCAATGATTTTTTCCATCTTGCTACTCTTCAGATATAGTGCAGAAAAGAAATGGACATCACTGGAAAGATTTCCTCTGATAAAACCAAAACTAAACCAAGTTTCCCTTTAAAAAAAAAAAAAAACCTACTAATTACTTTATTCAGGCGTTTCTCTTCCATTTTTTGCATGCTTTATCACCAAAGTACTCAAACAATCCTAAGTATGGTGCAAAAGGTATTTCCTAGAATTTTAACCTTATGATATCTTTGATAAAAGATGAGGAAAATCTGATTATGATCTTTGGCACTTCACAATAAGCATTAGTGTAGTAAAGCTTTTAACTTCACACACCAAAGAAACTTGTTTTATTTCTGAAACTTATTCGATAGTAGACTAAGTTATAAATAACTAGTAAGGTATAAAACTCACTTTGGGAGTGACTGTTAGGATTGTTGTTGTTCTTACGGTTGTAGTATTAACAGGAACATATTGATCAGAAACTGGAATTGCTGATACTATAGTTTGAATGTGCCCCCTCCAAAATTCAGGTGTTGCCAATATGACGGTATTAAGCAATGAAACCTTTAAAAGGTGATTAGGCCAGGACAGCAGGTGGCATGGTGGTTAACATACTGGACTCCTACATGGCCTACCACAGTGAGTCTTAGGCCCAGAGGCTTGAAAATCACACTAAGAATGTGTGCACGCATGCCCAGAATCCTGAGAAGAGAATGAAGGGATTGTAGTCATCCTCCCGCCAGGGGGTGTGATTTCTCGCTTTCCCTTTCTCTGTCTCTTCAGTAAGCACATACACCATATGGCAAAAACCTTTAAAAAAAAAAAAAAGTGATTAGTTAGAGGGGACTCCTCTCATGAATGAGGTTACATCTACACACAAAAGGGTTTGACAGAGGAGTTGGTTCTCTTTTGTCCTTCCACATTCTGCCATTTGAAAATGCAGTAAGAAAGCCCCCATCAGATCCCGGCACCTTAATATTTGGTTCTAAACTCTAGACCTGGAACAAACTTCTCTTCTTGGGACGACCCCACAGCTTGGTGGTTAAGAGAGGCAGATTCCATGTGGCTGACTGGCAGCTGAAAACATGCTGGATATGGCACGTGCCGTAACCCAGATCTCGGCAGGATGGAGAAGTGAAGAAGGGATTTATGGTGGTGCTTTCTCCTCTCTTGTGAGCAAACACGCTCTCTGGCAGCCAAAAGAAAAATCCTGTTCTCTATAGATTACCCAGTCTCAGAAATGGTGTTATAGTAGCACAGACTAAGACAGCTGACTTAAAATAATTGACTTTCTCATTTAAAAAAAAAAAAAAGTATGGTGAACTCTGTTAACAATACCATTATATAATAAGGTGGTTATGGGTAGAGCCGCAGACCACATTGTATCAATGTTATAATAGAAGAATATTTAAAAATAATTACTACCAAGTATTATACTTCATTTTGGAAACAATTTTTAAATATAATGGAATTCACTGAGCATCTACTATAATATTTCATCTATCATTGTGTTTAAAAATCCTTCTTTGGGAAGAACAGTATCTATGATCTCATCATACAGATGACAAACCCATAGAAACGAATGTAAACCCTAAGTAGCTTCGTTAGGAAGTAAATTCAGGTCTCTGCTTCAACCCTGCACTCTACCAATTCCAATAGTTTTCCCAGGTCAGTCCTCAGAAAGGACCATCCAGGGCGGGGCAGTTATAAGCAGGTATACAAATGGAAGATCCACAACTCAATACATCTGAGATTTAGTAAAAGGAGTAGCTGAAGCCTAACCTGGCAAAGTGGGCAGAAGTGAATATTATCATAACTTAAGAACAGGGGGAACCAGCAGTTAGCATAATGGCTATGTCGCTGGACTCCCATGTAGTCGACCGCGGTTCGCATCCTGGACCCGGTGGCTTAAAACTCACGCCGGGCACGTGTGCGTGCGTGCCCAAGATCCCGAGAAGAGAATGGAGGAGAAGGGATTGTGGCGTGACCATCCCCTCTTGGAGGTGATTTCTCGCTTTCTGTTTCTATGTCTCTCTCTGTCTGGCAAGCGCACACACCCTATAGAGAAAACCTCTCCAAAAAGAAAAAACAAAAAAAAAAAAAAAAAAAAAAAAAAAAAAAGAAAGAAAAAAAGAAAAGAAAAGAACCGGGGCCAATAGGTGGTGTAGTGGTTAAAGTACTGGACTCCCACATGGCCGATCATGGTTCAAGTCCCAGACCTGGCCGTTTGAAAATCACACTGGGAACATGTGCCTGTGTGCCCGAAACCCCAAGATATGAATGGAGAAGGATTGTGGTGTAGCCATCCTCCCTGGGGAGGTGATTTCTCTGTGTGTGTGCGTGTGTGTGTGTGTCCATTGCTGGCAAGCACATGTGCTTTATGGTAAAAATTAAAAAAGAAACAAAAGAACTCTATAGAACAAAACTTCTAACTACTATGGGATTAAAATAGTCAGTAAATTCCTATTTTGGCTCCATTTGGTTCCACCTTTTCCTTCATCAACTGGGGCAACATCAGTGACTTCCCTTAGTTCACTCACTTGCTAAATTTTAAAAATAATTCAAATGGAAAGAGCTCAGGAGGACGTTGATTTATGTACTAGAGAGACAGCATGCTGTCACTAGTGCGGTGTGGAATTCTCCAGTAGTCTCTCACAATGTCATCAGGCACGGATGTCTTTTGCTTCCACTAACTTTTAAAAGAAATCAAAGCTGCCACTCATGATTACTTAGAATGTTCCAGATCCAATCTGGGATTCTATGTTTAAAAATACAAACAGGGACCAGCAGGTGGCATAATGGCTTTGTTGTTGGACTGCCATGTAGCGACACCGCAGTTCGAGTCGGACCTGGTGGCTTAAACTCACACTGGGCGCGTGTGCATGCGTGCCCAAGATCTCAAGAGGAGAACGGAGGAGAAAGGATTGCCCTGTGGCTGAACCCCGGGGTGGGGGGTGATTTCTTACTTTCTGTCTCTCTTTCTGGCAAGTGCACATGCCCAACAACAAAAACAAAACTCAAAAAACAAAACAAAAAAACTCATGCCAGGTGTAGTGCATGTGTACCCAAAATCCTGAGAGAAGAATGGAGAACGAATTGCAGTGTGGCCATCACCCCTGGGGGGTGATTTCTTGCTTTCTGTCTCTGTCTCTCTGGCAAGTGCACACACCTATAACAAAAACATCTCAAAAAAAAAATTACTACA